TGGCATCCATACCACCTGAGCCTCCTACATTTCTTCAGTGGCCCCCACACAGCCTGAGCCCCCCAAAGCAGCCCCTACCCTGCCTCAGCTGCCAGAACCTGCCTGTGCCACCCTCTACACTGCTGGAGCCCACCTGGGCCACCCAAGGGACTGCCTACACTAGCAAGATCAGCTGCCTGAACCACTGGATTCCCCCAAGACCCCCCACCCCACGCCAGGCCCTGCCTGTGCCACCCTCTACACTGCTGGAGCCCACCTGGGCCACCCAAGGGACTGCCTACACTAGCAAGATCAGCTGCCTGAACCACTGGATTCCCCCAAGACCCCCCACCCCACCTGCTGGAGCCCCGCAGTTGGCCACTCACACCACTGGGGCCTACTGGAGTCTACCAGGCTGCCCCTAAGCTCATCAAGGCCCAGAGTCTGAAGGTGGCCCCAGTGCTGAGGATGAGACTGCTGTGTCCAGCCAGCCCACCACCAACACCCCACCACAACCATCCACAAAACGGCTCAAACAGCCCCTGGCAGGAACTGTGTACCAGTACGGCCTGTGTGTTGCTTGGACTTCACAGTGACTTGCCGGGACAGTGCTTCAGGGAGGTGGAGAGACATGGTTTGGTTTGGGTGGTTGGTTGGTTTTTACAATAAATCAGGCTTTTCTGGTGAGTCTTCTGCCTGCCTGGGTCTGCTAGCAGCAGTCAGCTGTTGACAGTTATGTTCGTTTGCCCTGGTGCCCTGCACTGCCAGCCCATGGCTACTTGTCCAGCCAACTGCCAGGCAGCAGGCTCAGCCTTTCACAGGGAGGGGGCTCCATGCACACTTAGCCATTCCTCTGTTGGCTCCTGGTTATGTACAAGTTTGCATTAGGAGTGGCAGCAGCAAACCTCACCCTGCGTCGTCTGCCTGTGGATGTATTTGGGATGGGGTTTCCCTGCCCTAAAGGGGAAAGGTGCAGGTGTCCAGCACAAGAGAGCATTAACTCAGTCCTCTCTGTGCTGATCTCTGTGGTGGTGGTGGTGAAGCCCTCCCAAGCGCTGTCCCTCTCCTTGAATAGGCAGTGCCTGGTCCCTCCATGACAGAAAAGCTGCTCTCGTGCTCCACCAAGGGCCCTGGCAATAAGGAGTACTGTCTAAGGGGAAGGTTGATGGATAACAGTCATGTAGACAGAGCCCAAGAGAAACCAGGCTGGTACCAGCCTGGGATTACAGGGGACAGCCACAGCCCAAGGTAGCCTGACACCATGCTTGGTCCTGGGGACGATAAATATTGCAGCTACTTTTAATCAGACTGTTTGTAGCCCAGGAGGGTGCCTCATTCCTCTTCCTTCTAAAACTGTGAAGCCACAGGAGCTCCTGCTGAGCTGCAGGGCCGCCACACTGCTCTTCTTGCTGTCAGTGCCTCCTTCCCGCAGGTCCGTGGGAGGCCTGGGCTTGACTGGAGAGCTGATGGCGGAAGCCACACAAAGTGCAGTGTTCAGACACTCTTGCACCAGTTGCACAGCTAGGCCAGTCCATCCAAGGCTGCCACATTCCTGTCGCTGGCTGCACACCTGCAGAAAGTGTTAAGATTTCAGCTTTAACTAAATGCACTCAGGAGCTGCAATGGTACCTCTCACACCCTCCACCTGCCTGTGGATCCAGCTCAAGAAACCGTCACTTCCTTGAGCAGACCCCATTGCACACATGCATCCATAGAGGACGCCGAGAGGCCTGCTCTCATTAAACCTGTGGATTTAATGCCAGTTCTGCTACATGGCCACAGGGGGGAGGCAGCTAGCACATTTCAAAGGGAGGTCGTCTGTAAATCCTGCAGGGCTGACCTAGGCCTGTGTCCAGCAGCTGCCTGGCAAAGCCACTCCCTCATGGATATAAAAAATAAAGGTGCATTTCAGATGGTTAAAAAGTGCATCATACTCAAATAACCAGAGAAAAGAAATACAAATTTTATTTTTTTCTTTCTAACACAATACACTCTTTTACCAGGGCAAATTAGAAATACAGAACAATTTCCTACCAGCGAGAGAAGGACAACCTAGAAACGAAGGACACTGAAACAAGATACTACTCTGCAGAACACGAAGAATGAAGGGGACCGTGAGTTCCTTGGCTGAAGATGAGGCCTAAAGCACTCCCCTGCCACTGTCTACACAGCAGAAACGTGCCTGAGAGCAAGGCAAACACCTCCCATTATTGATGGCAAAGCTGCTCATAGGAGTCCTGGTGACTGCAAATGCTATCAAGTAGTGTGGCAGAGAACAGCCCACGAGTGACCAGCGAAGAAAACACATTTGTGAGTGCAGGTGACTGGCAGTGAGTGAGTTTGCACCACACTGCACTGGGCTGGTGGCATCTGGCTTCGGTGAGCTGCCAGGCCAAACAGGACAGGGTGCAAAGGCCCTTTCTGTGTGCAGCTCCTGATGGCTGGGTCTCTCCTAAGCAGTGAGGGGTATTTCTAACCTGTTGCCTCCCAGGAGAGACAAAGCTGCAGCTTTGCCCTGATTTAAGATCAGCTCTCTATTCCCTGCTCCATCAGACCCAAACTCCTCATCACCCTCCCCTCTCTCCCTCCACCAAGCCCATGGCACCATGTGGCAATCGGAGAACCGCTGTGCTTGTCGTGCTGCTCCGTTTGCCAGGGCACTGCTGTGCTGGTCACTTGGTCTACACTGCGGTCTTGTTGCTCTTTGGGAGGGCTGCCTGGCTTGGCTGCAGGCAGGGAGTGCACCCAGGCTCTGAGCCCTGGCCAGATGTACATGATGCCAATGACATGGGTGAAAACTGAAGCTTGCACCAACCTTCTGCATTTGTCTGCCAGTGTTGGAGCTGAGCTTAGCACGCCGGCCCTGCTCCCTGTCCTGAAACGCTCAGCCCTTGCTGTGAAAGCCCTCTGGAGCCATGTCAGGGTGGTACTCATCCCCACAGCCTCTGATGGCACAGCAGAGGGATGGCTGCACAGGGGCTGTTCTCTACATGATGCCATACAGCTCTGAGAGTCTTGGCCTGCTGTACTGGCACACGATGAACTTTTTGAGAGGCCACACAGTGCCATGGCTGGCACAAGTTCCCTGTGGGGGCTCAAAGCGTGCAGACAAGGGCTGTGGGGAGGGCAGGCTGGTGGGCATGCTTTCAGGGCAGAGGAGGTTGGCATGTGAACTGGGCAGCGCACAGAGAGGTCAGGACAGCGCCTGGCACAGGGAGAGCTAATGGTGCTGGGTCCTTCCTCTGCAATACAGAGCATGCTGCACCAGGCTCCAGGGCTTCCTTGCTCCCCTGGAAGCACAGTACAGGAAGAGGAAAGACTCTCGCACACAAGGCAACCTGGATTTCTACTCAACGCTCAGGTTCCTTTGGGACATGGTTCTTTTTGCTTCTACCCTCTGACCCCGCCTCCCTCCAGACACATAAAAGAGGGGGGGGGGGGGGGGGGGGGGGGGAAGCACAAACACAAAGGCTTCTCTCACCACAGCAGGCCGAAGTCTCGCAGGGGTGGGACATGGGGCTGCTGGCGACAGTGGCAGGGGGGGCCCATGCTGGGCATGAGTGCTGAAAGTGGGTACCTCGCATCACATGTGGCACTAGCTGGAAGCCGCAAAAGAAATACGAACACAAGACAGGAACTGCTGGCCCACCAGGAAGGCCATGGTATCCCAGTCCATCTACTGACTCCCCTCGGGGTCCGATGTGTGATTTTTCATCTGCAAGGACAAACACACAACATAGCCTTTCCATGAGGTGCCCTCTGGCCCTGGCAGCAGGACCAGATGCATCACCCTGCCCAGCAGAGTGCCCAGCAGCACCACGGCCTGTGCATATGTGCCTGCTGTGCCTCAGAGCCAAGAGAGGGAGCCTGGGGACGCCCCTAACAGTCCCAGGGCCAAAGCAGTGTCAGGCTGTTCTGGTGCTGCATGGGGTGCAAGAACTGCAGAGCATCACTGTGCCTAGCTGACAGTCAGGCTGGGCTCTGCCAGCAGCACAATTGCAGCCAGAGGGGGCTCAGCAGTGAGATGCCCAGGGGACAGCCCCTGCTGCTCTGTGCCCTTGGGGGTGACGGGGGGCATAGGTGCCTGCACTCACATACAGGGGCAGAGCAGAGAGCTGCCCAAGGCAGCCCATCCTGGGGAAATGGATGGCTGTGCCACAGTACCCCAGAGACCAGTGGCACCCCTCAACTCATCAGCCCATTTCTGCCTCAGGTGGGTCGGGACAAGCCTGCCCATTCAGGCATGGCTGGCATGAGGCAGTCAGACAGCTAGGGGTATTTTTAGATGAAGGCCATGGCTCCAGTTTGCTAGGTTTAGCATGGGCTGACTCACACCAGCCTCCTCGTCACAGCTGGCCACAGGCCACCACTGTTCTCTGTGGCCACCCCTTCCACTCCTCATGACAGGGAGCCACCAGAAGTGTCCCAACAGAGCTGGGCAGCTCCCTAGCCTTAGCCTGGCCACAGCCCCTGCTTCCCCATCCCCATTCTGGCTGCAGTTTCCCTGCAAGCACTGAGAGAGGGAGATGTCCACTAGCCAGCCACAGATGGTTATCTCCCCTCCCACTATCACCAGCCTGCGGGTCGCACCAGGCTCCTGCACTGCTGGGGCAAAGGGAACTGAAGGTGCTGAGTCCAAAGGACACAGAGTAGATGCTGCCAACCCTGCAAATCATCACGGGAGCTGGGGTCCCACAGCCCCACAGGGCTGTATGATTAGATGGGAAAGTGCAGCCCCCCCCACTCAGCAGATGGCTTCCTCTGACTCAAAGCTCAAGGGAAGCACGTGTGAGAAGCAGTGGCAGGTGCTTGTTGCTGTGAACAGCTTTGATAAAGGACATTTCCACTCTGATGGGTTTTTTTGCACCTTGGGTTAACCCCTGCACTGCAGGAGTAAGACACTCATAGCTGCTGGCTGCACGGTGCACAGGTCTGGGGCAGGGGGTTGTCTGCTCATCTCCCCTGCCTGGCTCTCTTGGTCACCTTGGAATTTGGCAGGGGTGGGCTGCCACCAGCCTCCCATCCCAGTGGCATTTTGTGTGCAGGACCCGTTGCCATGGGGCAGGAGTTCCCCGTGGCCACGCTGGCTCAGGGCTCCGGAAAGGGGCCAGCTCTGTCTCCATGTTCCTGGGGCCTGGGCACACACACGTCCCAGCATGATCCAGTGCCACCGAGCACAGCCCCTGGGAGCCAGAGCTGTGTCCTGGACCAGGTGTGCTGGCAAGAGCCAGCCTGGGCTGAGCAGGAGGGGTCCCAGTAGCAGCCAGCATGGGGAGGGCTGGCCACAGGCCTGGTAAAGGGCCATAAACTGAACTGGCAGAAATTGCCGCCTTCCTTGGGCCTTTCCCAAAGGCACAGGTGGCTGTAGCCCTAACATGCTGTCTGGCCAGCTCAGGTGCCTTCAAACTCTGGGGAGGAGACAGCCATCCTGATGGGGCAGCTCTTCCACCATGGGCATACCCCAGCAGGACCCATACAGGCAGTGGCAGGGCCACAGTCAAGAAGTCCCTTCTCAGGGCTCCTCCAGCATCCAGGCACTGGTTACAGATGCCCATCAGCACAATGTGGCACCTTCTCCTACACCCTGTAGTGCAGGGTGGTGCGGTAGGTCAGCTCTGAATCCAGCTCCAAGCCCACCAAGCCCTCAAAACCCCAGGGCAGAGGTATCTGGCATCAAACAGAGATGAGTTTTGGTAAAGCAGATAGCTAGGGCCACACTGCACCCTGCCTCCCAGTGCAGCAGCTGGCCCTGGCCTTACCGTCTCCTCGGTGTCTGTGCTCTCCTCTGCACTGTCGATGTTGCGCAGGTCACTGTGCCCATCAGCTCCTGACCCCTCCTTCCCCTGGGGCTCCCGTGGCCCCTCTCCTGCTGGGGATGGCGACTCTGCACCAACCTCGACCCTTTTCTTCTCGCTTTCCTTGGACCCTGCAGGGACAGAGACTGCAGAAACTTGGGGTGCCCGAGCAGAACATTAGTCCTGTCCTCGCAGGGCAGGAGCTAAAGTCCCATCATGCCAAAAGACTTGTCAGCCCTGCCATCCCTGGGAAGGGGTGAGGCCCAGGGAATTTTCCAGCAGGCTCTGGAGGCCAAGCTCACTCCTTGCACGGAGGGATGGTGCCCACAGCTCAACCTCACACTGCCTGGCATCTCCTACTTGGGACTTAGTATGGTGTCCAGGCTTGCTTGTACCTGCAGGCTGGTCCTGCACGAGCTCTGTATGGATGCATGCATTTTGGAGCAAGCTGGGATTCTCCCCATCATGGTCAGGTATAACATGTATAACATCCCCTCACCTGAGAGACGGTCTCTCCGCTGGTCCATGCGGTCCAGGCTCTCCAGCAGACTGTCCACCTGTGCCTTGATCTGACTCAGCTCCCCTTTGATTGAGTGCAACTCTTCGGCCCGTACTGCAGGCAGCGTGGACAAAGGAGCTGTTAGGGTCCCACCTTGATCTGTAGCTTGCCCAGAGCCAGGGAAAAAGCAGAGCCAGGGGAATCCACAGTCCTGGGGCAGCACGCTCCAGAGCATCCTCCCCACCAGGCTCCTCCAGCCTTCCCAGGGCAGTCACATCCTTGGGCAATGGCAATAGGTTCAGGAGACAGCCCCCAGACAGGCAGCCAGCCCAGTATGGGCTGTTTCTCTGCTGGAGCAGGGGACTCATAGCTGCAAGGTTAGCACTGAGCGATTTGCTCAGGCACAGGCACTGCTGTCACACACCAAGAACACACAGCCCAGGCCTCTGTGGCTCACTGACTTCCAGAGGAACTGACAGTTGTGAGTCTGAGTTACTCTGTGTTTCTCCCCTCAGCACAACCCTGCCGCCATGAACAAACCCCTGACCTCTGTGATCACCAAGACACTTCCAGCACCCTCAAGAGCTTAATGGAGCCATGACCCCGCTCCTTCCCTTCTACCCACGCCACATAACACTTACGCTTTGTCCGTCCTGTCGTGGAGCTGGTGCTGTTCCTCGTCCCAGACTGGGGGCTTAGACTGCTTTTGCCTCCTGCCCCAACATGAGTTCGTCTGGCCTTGACAGGGATGCGGTTAATGAGGGGTGGGATCTTCTGGTACTCATATACCCTGCAAGGGCACAAAACCATATCAGTGTGAGCAGGGCCCCACAGGCACAGCAGCAGGTCCTGCCAGACAGGTGAGCATCTCTTGCTCTGTTCCTCCAGGCAAAGCAGAAGGGTGAGGGACTGTGCTGGGCAACGGAACACCTGCATTACAGGGGGTCACAGCCCCCTACCTTGGCCTTGCCTCTTGTTGGAGCAGGCCAACACACTGCTGCTGCCCCAGTAACACCATCCCCGAGGTGTACAGGCCCAGGAGGCTCGGGTACAGCTGCTCCTTTAAGAGGACAGCCCTGCTGAA